ATGGTGACCTAAGGCAGTACTCAAAGAGAGGGCACTTGACTCGTATCATCACATCATTTCAGTTCCTTTCCCTGTCATTTGGGCTGGTTTTAACTGCCCCTGCACACTGGGCAGACGTTTCCATTGACCGCATCACAATGAGTCTTACAGCTGGGTGGCTATAGAGATGCGGTTGTATCATAAGTGCATTATCATCATAAGCGCTCACCAGTCCATCCCATGCAGCGCTTGGGACAGAGCGGCATCGGAGGCATATTGACAGAGGGCAAAAAGTCATCAAAACTGCACATCCTGCTTCCACCAGGAGCCCCAGGAACCGATCAGAAGGCGGCTTACGAGCGCAGCAACCTCGTCTCCTGAGGACAGCATCCGAACTCATGTTACTGAGGCTCAAGCTTTGGTGTTTCGTTCCCGTAAGCCGACAAGTAAGTGCACCTGTCACTCCCCCAAAAACTCTGAGGAAGCACGAGCACAGAGAGGTGGGGAACGGCGGTAAGCACAGATGCCACATCTTTCCTCTTTCATCCGGGCCCTGGCTGAGCAGGCCAGCTGGGGCTCAGCTTACCCCGAAGCATGCACGTCGGGCTCTGAGTACGGATGGTGTGGGGCTGGGGGATGCAGATTGCCTGCAGTGTAGGCATACCCGCACGCAGCTGTTCAACCCCCAGAAGTCTGTTGCGAGTCCAAAAGCTTTTTACTTTTCAAAAATTAGTCTTGCTACTGCTGAAAAATGGAACTAAGGCCGGTTTGGTGATCTACATTTTACGAGGATCAAAGCCACTTTCCCTTAACCCTATGCAAAAAGAGTGACAAGAATCTATTTTCTTTTTCTTTTAAAGCTGCTCATTTTGTGAGGCTGTATCGCGGGAACCCCTTGACCAAATGACCTCTGGTTTGCACTATAAAGTCTACTCAAATCCCACGCTAATTTTTAACATCGTTGCCCACGCACACGGATTTTGAAGTGGTTCGAAAAGGAAAAGCCACCGACGTGGGGCGGGTTGGGCCCGTATTGTGGAAACGTCTCGACCAAACGAACCAACGTTAGACAATGTCTAACCCGGACTCCAGTGTAACATGTCCGCTTTCAAGCCGGCTGTCTTCTCCCTGGGGATTTTAGGATTTGACACGTTGCAGCCGCCTCTCTCCCCTTCAAAGGGAGCTCCAGCGACCCGCCGGCACTCGGCGAGCTGGACCTTGGCGCTCAAACGGCGCTAAATGCCCTGCACCTGCCTCGCCCGGATGCAGCCAGCTCAGCAAAACGACCCTGCGCGTCAGCAGAGCAAAACGCGTCAAACAAGCTACGCCTGTGCAAGGCGGTGCAACCGGTACCGCTGCATTTCCCGTGCGGGCTGGGCAGGGGTCAGAGGTCATGCCCCTTCGGGGTGGAGGTATGCTGGCTGGGCAGGGTCCAGGGTCTGGATTGGCTGTGGGGGGTCAGGGGTCAGAGGTCATGCCCCTTCGGGGTGGAGGTATGCTGGCTGGGCAGGGTCCAGGGTCTGGATTGGCTGTGGGGCGTCAGAAGCCACGCCCACTAGGGGTGGAGCCCTGCAGGCAGTGCGGGGTCAGGGGCTGAAGCCCTGGCTGGCTGGGCAGGGGCCAAGGGTGACGTCAGTAAAAAACTGCGCAGACTCAGAGGGGGTGTCACGTGAGGCTCCGGCGCGCGCAGACGCAGAGCGGC